TTAGTGAACTGCAGCCAAATTAGATCATAATCATTTATCTATGAATGTGATCAATAGCCTCGATAAACTAAAGAAAAAATAATGCAAATAAACGTTACAAACCGTTATTAAAAGCATCCATTTGGAATAAGAAAGTACAATTAAAAAAGAATTTGACGATAGACTGTAAGAAAAATGGGAAATTCACTTGGTTCGCATATGGAAATGAGATAAGCGTAGATAAAAATAGTGGTATTCACCAATATAATCAAAAATATTACATTAGAGTTATGTATATAAATCAGAACAATTGGCCCTTCGAGTGTAGCCTAGCAATCAGGTCTTGAAGTATTAAAAGTGACTTATACCAACTAGAAATTCTAATAGTAAATAACAATATGATAGATAAAACATCAAAGGTCCTGTGATAGTCAAAATTAAAAAGAATGTGCGGAGCAGATAAGTTTTTAGAAGTATTTCGCTTCTTTCCAGAAAAGTAAAAAAATAATAGTAAAAATAAATGAAATAAAATGAAAATATTAGAGCATATATATGGGAATCTAGTCCACCTGTAATGTCGGTTCGGGACTTTTCCTCACTAGAGGAAAATAAGTTCGATAAAGAAGACTGGGGATATCGAGCAGGCGGCTGGAGAAGGATAGGTCTTCGGCGCAAAGTGTCTAGGTTGATTTGTGACATAGTGGGAAAATCAACGGCGTAAGGTCGACGAGATACCTGACAGAGAGCTCTCATTTCGCCGGCTCTGAATGAAGAATCCAAAATTTTTGAAGTCTCAGCATTGTATTGATGCCATTGGACGGCCTGATCATCAAGCCAACTCCAATTTTGGCAGCCATGGTAAATTAACGTCACCTTTTGGCGCAATTCCAATGCCTGTCAGATGTTTAAAAAAATTACTCATTGATAGCTTATTAAAAGGAAGCAGAATAGAAGAGCTCCCCACGATTTGGGAAAATACAAATTAATTTAAAATTAAATAGAGGACCGAAACTGGCAGATCGGGACAAATCAAAATATTTTGTATAAAGAAGTTCATCATACAAGAATGCACTGCATTGGAAGAAAAATTTAAATACTAATGGGTAGCCATCACAGAGCTTTAAGTCTTTAATCCTAAGTGATACTCAAAATAAAGTAATTTTCATGGAAATATATACAATTAGGTAGCATACGAGCATGTAGGAAACGTATCTCAATTGGCCGGCCAATAGGCAAAAACACATAAGTAGTTAAGCCATAACGCTCAATTGAAGCCCTGGAAAAGTCGAATTAAAGGAGTAGCAAATCAATTCCAAAAGAAGATGGACATAGGGTAATAAACACTTGTTTGGGGAATGACAAGGCTCACTGACGATGCCGGCGAAACGTCTGGGAATGTACCAAGTCCATGGTCCGACTCTGAAAATTATCAAGCATACTATGAACTCCAGACAGGGTACATTTCTCTGGGTCTTCCTGCCAATATGACCATGTTGCGAAAACAAAGTCAAACAACATCTAACTATAATATATACCTCATTCTATACTATATTATTAACGACAGCACAAGAATTTTATCGAAATATGAAGAAATCTTAAGATTTGATAGTTGTGAGCTCTGCTAAATAATATAAGGACCCAATTACTAAGTCAAAAAAAAATCTTGCGTCCTTAAGTTATTTCACAGATAAGATAAATATAAATTTCAATAGTTAGGAGCTTTTTTAGTGCATCATTTTCGCATTTATAATTTCAGATATGCGGATTTCTAGATGATCTATGATAAACTAAACAAGGGATAGAGTAGTCAGAACCAAGAGTCTTGCCAACTATAATGAAATATTAAAGTATGGTTTCGAAACTACCAGTAAATAAGATATGATATATGTTCTCTCTATTAGGTTTAAGTTAATGAAATCCAATGTGAATATAAGGTCTATTCATACCATTGTGAGAAAATTCAAACTACAAGTCCTTCATCTCTTTAAATGAAGTCGGGTGAACGTGAATAAAATAGGCAGGAAAATAAAAACAAGCCAATCAATAGAAATGCATATGATAGGAGGAAATACGTTTGGAAATGCATTAATTAATAGATTATTTATTCGTGAGATTAACAACGGGAATTACTTAGAGAACAAATTATTAAATTCATATGGCAAAAGTAAAGCTAATATAATTGGTAAATCTTGTGGTAAAGTTAAGAGATTTTATAGGAAATGACATCTTTGAGAGCTAATTAAATATATTCGTAAGAGATAAATGAGGGTACCTGAACAGTTCTAATGTATTGATCCAAAATTAACGAAGAATGTAACAGATAAGTACTATCAAGAATGTAATTCTTTTCATCTACATCCATGATTTCTGTTTGGTTACAATTGAAAGAAGCGACTGCTGAGATATTAGAAGTATGCTCCGTTCCAGATATTAAAGTCAAAAGCATTTTAGGCAATTCATGATGAGCAGCAAGGTTAGAACAAAGAATGCGAGAACGTGCAAAAAGCAGAGCAATCAAGTGCAATCCCACAGCATCAGTAGCATCCTAAGAGTAATAAAAAGAAGAAAGAAATTAGAATTAAAAAATGTAAAATACTGATTTAATTGTGAAAAAATACGTGTCCATAATATTGTTCTTTGATCTATTTTATTATAGTAACGGGCAAAAATACTCACTCAAAGCTTTAAATAATCGAGCATTTTTTCGTGGTGAGGATTTCTCGATTTTTCTAAATGCCATGTGATCTCTTATTTTCCAAATGATATGTTTCCAGTAGGCCTCGAAAAACATAAGGCAACGTGCCCTATGCAAGTTAGTTGGGTACGTTTGCAAAAACTAAACCGATATTGTATTTGACAACAGCATTAATAATAGTAATAACCCGTATGAAATATTTTGTTAATGAAGAGTCGCTATTAATAACCAGGCTTCCATTAAATGATCG